GGAGTTGTTCAATGGAATGGCTTGAGAGATGGATGTAAATAACAGGAAAAGCAGTAGAGGGAAAGTGGGAAGGTTTTATCTTTTTCTTGTTCATCTAAGATAGAAAAGGCGTAGATAAAGAATATAACAAGTTAGTAGTCTAAGGAGGTGAGCTCAAGTTAGGCTATAGCAGGGATTATTGAATATTGCTGCCAGATAAGGAAGAAGAATCCACAATGAAAGTGAATAAATGACTAAGCACTTCACTGTTCACTTAATAGGAAACCCAGTTTTTAACAATAAAGCTATTTTCATCCCAAACTCCCATAGCATACCCAATGTAGGTGCGCAAGCTAAGTAGGTATAGAGGAGCTTATATACAATATGTTCAAGAGGGCGGGGGGGAGAGATGGTTTATGGATTTTTTTTAAATATATAGCCCTACCTTGGTTGGATTGGCTAATAAGGGGGAAATAATAAACTCAAGCCATCAATAATTTATTAGGTGATTTAATGAGATGTTATTATACTTTATAAGTCATAATTTAGGAGTTAGTATTTTTATGGCTTGTTTTAAACATGGGTAAAAGTAATGATGTCTTACATGATGTGTCAGCGTAGGTTAAGAGTCATCACTTGAAATTATTTTCTTGCTGAATTATTGTTTGCATTTCTCTGAATGCTTGATGCCCATCCAGGCCTATACATTTTGAAATATAGGTTGGGGAAAATGGAATCTAGAATGTGCACGTTTTATAGTTTTAAAACTATAAAAAAAGATGTTGAGACTCTAGAAAGAGTACAGAGAAGAGCAACCAAGATAATTAAGGGACTGGAGGCTAAAACATACAATGAATGGTTGCAGGAACTGAGCCTGGCTAGTCTAGTAAAGAGAAGAGAATATTTGAGGGGCTGCTGCAGAGAGAAAGAGATCAACCTATTTTCCAAAGAACCTGATGTCCAGACAAGGAATAATGGATGGAAACTGATCAAGTGAAATTCAAACTGAAATTCAAACTAGAAATAAGGAGAAATTTTCTAACAATGAGAACCATCAACCCATGGTACAGCTTGCCCTCAGAAGTTGAGGGTGCTTCATCACTGGACGCCCATCTGTCAGAAATGGTATAGGGTCTCCTTCTTGAGCAGGGGTTGGACTAGAGGACCTCCAAGGTCCCTTCCAGCTATATTATTCTATTCTATACGAAAAAGTCACAGAGGTCTAATTATATGAATTGGTAGAAATTAGACTGGGAAGCAGAATACTATAGATTTATAGTAATACATTCATGTGGAAAACTGATTTCCACAGACGTGTGCATGAAAGAGGTTTATATATCTCTACCACAGAAAGCCTGTTTGGTGTCGTGGTTAAGACATCAGGCTAGAAACCGGGAGACAGGTGAATTCTAGTTCTGCTTTAAATACACAACCAGCTGGGTAGGCTTGGGCTAGTCACTTTTTCTCAGCCTAGGAAGGAGACAACCAGGGGTGGGATGATACCAGTTCTGCCTGGTTCTAGAGAACTGGTAGCTCTGAAGAACAGCAGACACTGAACCAGTTCTATGTTTGCTGCTGTTTGGCCCGCCCACCCACCTGGGCTCTTACCTGTCCTTTATTTCCTGCTTTTTCAACCTGAGCTGCTTTGCGTGGTACAGCTGAGGGTGAAAAAAACAGGACAAAAGAGGCTTTTCAAATGCTGTGCACCTGCACACAGCGCTTTTCAGCTGACCGGGAGGCACAGCTTAAGGGTTTTGTACATGCATGCACATGCAAAACAAAATGACCGAACCGATAGTAACACCGGTTGAATCCCACTCCTGGAGGCAAACCACTTCTGAAAAACCTTGCCAAGAAAACTACTGAGAGTTGCCCAGGTACAAATCTCCAACAATCGTTTAAATGGAAGGGGCGGAAATCTATCACAGCCATGAGAAAAGCTTGACTATAGTTTTGATAAGCATTGTAAGTAGCATGTTTTTTTTCTTTAAAAAAAAGTGTCTATTTTGATTAAAGCACTTTTACTGCCAGTTGAACTCTTCATAGCCTTAGTTGGGGAAGAAAACCGAAGTATGCAGATAGAATTATCTTGGCTTTGTTTTTGTTTGCCCCAGCTCATTACGTTCTTTGGGTTCTTTAGTTACAAGGGTGGTATTTGTTTTTGAATTCCTGCACTGCAGTGCAATGAAATTGCTCCTAACGTGACTGTCAGATGAGACTTGAAGCCAAGCCTTTCCATTCTGAATATATGGTGCAACTTTCCTGGGTTTATCCTTTTCTTACTGTAGGGGTATATGTTTGATCGTTCTGACGCAATGGACAGCTTTATGGAGTTGACACCACTGTCAGCTGCTGGTCAGTGAGAGAGAGAGAGAGAGAGAGCGCCTGCCAGCATCCCAGCAAAATGGTCAGTGGAGCAGGTCAGACTGAATCCACAAGGGAGAAATAGAGTAGGAAGAGAAAGCTCTATATTAACACTAAGGATGCTTTAAATGTGTTTTTCAGTTTGGCAACTTTTAAAATGAATGGGCCGTACATCTTAAAGTTGCCAAAATAGGAAAAACACTATTCAACTTCAGGTATGGTCTGGAAGTCAGAAGGAAATGAAGTTACTGGGGCAGAAAATGAAGTTACCAGGATCTGGTGGTGCCACAGTTAGATGAAAGTGAGGAAAACTTCTCAGAGTAATGCCCAATTTTTCCACTTTGTGAAACTCTGGGAGGGAGAACAATGCTTAGAAAAAGAACAAGAGGTTTTACTATAAATAAAGAAGTCAAAAGGCCAAGGTGCACCAAGGTTCCTGAGAAGGGCTAGTAGTCATCCATACATCCTGAGTCAAGTAAGAAAAAGAAAACTGCTGTGGGAGTTAATCTGGCAAGCTCTTTGACCTGCTGGACTTTGTTTTCTATTTCTGTATATTAGGAAGAAATGGGAAAATCAGTTATCAAAAGATCTGGTGCCTCCGAAAGCATGCTACTCAATCGTGTCATCTTAGAAAACTGTGTAAACAGATGATGGCAACAGACCAATATTGCTCAGTCATGTAAAATGTTTGCCAAGTGGTACCTGGCAGAATTATGGCTAAAACATTCAAACTAAGAGCTAGTATTTTTATTTCAGAATAATCACATGGAACACCCTAACTGGGTGTAGCTATACTTCCTATAGAAATGTAGAAACAGGTATACCCTCCCTTCAAAAATAATATTAAGGCTACTTATATTAAATAATTCTGCTGGACAAAATCAGTCCTTGCATTGGGTAAAACTGGTCCTTCAAAGTCCCAGCACAGAAACTCCCTGCCCTGTGCTTTAATGGTAGATGTTTGAGCCAGAAGATTAGGCAGACTCAGCTGTTGATATAGTTTTTTCTGATTGAAATGTACTCTTTATCTTGGGCATCATGAGTCATTGTTTATAACTATCTTTTTAATTCATGTATGCTGCCTAGAGTAACTGCTTTTGTGAGATGAGAAGCCAGATTAAATAAATAAATGTTCGTTCTGGTGGTGATCTCTTTGTAGCATTCAAAAAAGTGTGTGTGCTCTCTTGCTAAGATGTGACCCAGAATGATAAACTTCTTTTTTTGTAGCCTATTGGGATTGCCAGATTATGACATTTTTTCTTCCTTAAATAGCTTATCATGTTTTTGATCTTTCATGCAAACCAAGGATGGTTCTGCTCCGTAGAATCTGCTCGTAAAGGATCTGTATTTTTTTTTTTAATGGTCCAAAGAACTTCTTGAAGCACTACAACTCTAATACGCATTAGTGTTCTCCAAAAAGCACAGCAATGATGAGGTGGGGGTTGGTTTTATTTTGAAACCCTCAGTCTTCCAGTCATACAATTTGGGGAAGGAGGAAGACACATATTCTTTTCCTCTATCCCAAAGGTGTTTCCCCCTCTCCCCACCAGGAAGCAACTGGGCTTTCTGGTTTTTCTTTGAAGATGTTTCGCTTCTCATCCAAGAAGCTTATTAGAGCTGAAGAAGCTTCTTGGATGAGAAGCGAAACATCTTCAAAGAAAAAACCAGAAAGTCCACCTGCCTCTTGAGGGGAAAAAGAACCTTTGGGACAACCATGACCTGGATGGCTGAGAATCTCCATAGACTTTCTTGTCCTTTAGACTGTTCTTCACACATATAAGAACCAACTGAGGAGGAGAGCTGCTGGGTTCTATCAAGAGCAGAGGCAGAATCTATTCTAAGGCAAAAGCCAACCATGGTGTCATCATGTTGACTTAGCAGCTTTAGGGAGAAGTCCATATTTTCACGAGAGAGCAGCCTGAACGTTGAAGTCTCAGGACTCAGGGGCTAAAGCAGTTGGGAGAGTAATGACAGATTGTTTTATAGTCATTCCCTTAACGTCTATCTCATTAAGTACATTGTACTGGTGTCCTCTTGGCCGACCTCATTCTTTTTTCATTAACATGCACATTAAAGTTTTATGCCAAGAAAACTGGCAGTAAGTTTGACTAACAAACCCTGCTCTGTTCCCAACCAGTCAAACATCAAAGCAAGAATCAAAATTAAATCAGAACATTAACAGTAAACACACACACACACACACACACTCTCACACTATGCTGCCTATGATCATAATAAAGATTGGATTGTTTTGATCTAGGCATACACAACATAAACACAGTCTGATTATCTTGTGAAATGCCGGAAAAGTGGCTTTAACATCTCTCTACAGGAAACACATTTCAAAACCTGGGGGCTACCACAGAGAATGAAACCCACAGTCCTAACAAGAAACAAGAATTATTCCCCATTGTCTTGGGGTCTGTAGTACGCCAGCCTTGACTCAGAATAAAGAGAGATGATCTCTTTCCCTATAAATATTGTTTACTCCCATCATCCTTCACCACTAAATAAATTGTCTATGGCAGTTGGGAGGATGGCTTCAGGTTCTCCATCCTAATTTTAAATAAAGATCAGAAGTGTAGTGATTATCAAATGCAACATCTCCTTTGCTTACTCACTAATTCTTTCTCCTCTCATCCTGCCTTGACTTCCAGAGCAGTTAGTGCTTGGAGCCTCCAAGGAATTATCTCGGCGCTGGGATAAGGACTACGATTCCTTTGTGCTTCCTCTGCTAGATGAACTGCAACCATGCTACATCCTTTACCGCCTGGATACCCAAAATGCACAGGGCTACGAGTGGCTTTTCATCTCCTGGTCACCTGACAACTCTCCTGTAAGCTTTCAACTTATTCCTATTGACAGAATACAGGTGAAAAACATCCGGTTCCTGCTAGTTAGTTTAGATGGTAAGCTGAAGGATAAAAGGTATGCAGAGTGCTTTTCAGAAGCCATGAGGTTGCTCTACTTCCCTTTTCCAATCCAAAACCACCAATGGTTGCAGGTGCCTTCTATCTGTTTAATCTATAGTTTCTTCATTGCCAGCCAGAAACTTTCCAGGTGTTTATGATTCCCATAATCTCCAGTCAGCATAGAGTTTGACCATGGTAATCACCTATGCAAAGCTGCTTGGTTTAGAAGAAGTTGTTGCAAATGTGGAACAGGTATTTCTCATTCAGTGCAGGCTCCTTCAATCATAACTGAAGAGGCTTGGAGCTCAGTGGGTCACTGGGAACTTAGAACTTTCCCCAGATTGTTTGAAGCAGATTGTTTCTGATGTGATGCAACTGTTTTCAACTTTGAAACAGGGCATTCTGAATTTGAAAACCATTCAAATGTGAGCTGTTTTACCCAATCTTACTAGCTGATTATAAAAATTAAACTCCAACATCCCTAGAAGTCACAAAATCAATAAAGACTACATTATTTGTTTATTAAATTTCAAGGCCACCCAACTTCTAATCACTCTGGGTGCCTTCACAAAATGGCAATTTTGTGAACAATTCCACAAAAACAATATCCATAAAACAATAACTGTTCAAACAATCCTTCTAGATCTGGGGTAAAGAGGCCATTGCAATCATCTTAACTGAAGGCCTGGGAGAAGAGCCAGTTTTTAGAGAAGAGTTGAAGACAAGCCAGTGGGGAAGACATGCCAATCTTTGGAAGATGATTTTTCTCAAAGGGAAATGCAGTGACAGAAAAGACCTGCTAGGTGACATTGATGGGATCTGAAACAAGCCAAGGCCACTGCATTGGTGAGCACAGCAAAGCAGATTTTGCAGGACTTTGCAGATTTTGTCAGTCTTGGGGGAAAAACCTCTAGTTGTATGAATTTCAGCTCAGAATTTTCAGCATGGCCATCATGTTTGGGGAATTCTAGGAGCTATTCAACACATCCAGAAGTTGGTTCCTCAAATACCGATAGCTAGGCTTTTTGCTTGAATTGCATATGAAGGCAACTTGCAACCAGTGCAGCTTACATAACAGGAGTCCTATATTCCCATTATTGTCATGCTACCTTCTGGATCAGCAGCAGCTTCTGAATGATGTTCACATGCAGCCCTTTGTTTCACAAGTCTACAAAATGATGCTGTCCATCCAACAAATTGGATTACTTCTCTATGAGAAATAATGAAGTTTGCCCAGGTATGTTGCAGCATGTAATCAAGTTTCTCTAATCTCTGAATCAAGGAAAGAGCAGGCCTCATTAGTACTCAGAGAGAGATCACCAGGAAATCGCAAGTTTGCAGGTTAAACTGCCAGGAAAACTACGTGGACCTTCCATGGAGTCATCAGGAGCTGACTTGAAGGCCTATTTACTTAATGAAATCAGAGTGGAAGAAAAATACTTCCCTTCCATTTATATTAGTATTCAGTGTTACATGGACAAAATTGATGTACATGGACAAAATTGAGCACTACAAACCTTGTCACAAAGAGTTGTTAATGTTTAGTTTTTGTTATAATGGATTAAGCAATCTGTGATTATTCAAAAGCTACCATAGCTTTTGTCAGTCTTGGGGGAAAAACCTCTAGTTGCATGAATTTCAGCTCAGAATTTTCAGCATGGCCATCATGTTTGGGGAATTCTAGGAGCTATTCAACACATCCAGAAGGTGCTTCTGGGGAAGATGGAGCTAACAAATTCATTTTGATATAAATATTGATTTTTAAAAGACCCTGTAATTCCAAACATGAAAGGTCCTGATGGGTTTCAGATAAATAATAAATAATCCTGCAACTTTTTTTTTAGTCACTGTGAACTGGACTTCTGGTAGTCAGCGGCCATGAATGTCTTCTTATAGTTCATATTCTCTTCTCTTTCTCTCTGTGCAACAAGGTTAGACTCAAGATGCTCTACGCAGCAACCCGAGCAACAGTAAAGAAAGAGTTTGGAGGAGGACACATTAAGGATGAACTCTTTGGGACAGTAAAGGTATGGTGGTTGGTCATATCCACTGAGATCAGAACAATTAGAGTTACAACTGTTAAAGTTTGGAGTCCTGCTTCTAAAAGCCAGATTACAATTTATCATCTACTCATCTTGAAGTGCTTGCTTTAAGATTGCAGGGATTCTGACTGCATAGGAAAAAAAAAAGAACTGAAGCTGTGTCTTCTGTTTTGCTATATGAAGGTTAAATCTGATTCACCCTTGCAGTATATCCTCAGTTTGAACCCTGATAAAATGAGTGCAGGGATTTGACTTAAGACATTGACAAAAGATAGGTAAAGATGTGCACAAGGTGGTCTGTTTGTGCCATAAGAGCAGAGGTGACCACTTCTATCCTGTGGAAGATTGCTTGTCTCTAGCCTGCTTTTCTTTTGTTCTTTCTCAGTTATTTTGTTTGTTTATAACATTCACTTCAGAGGAAGTCTGGTCCCAAAGTCTTCAGACTGCTTTGCTGACTATAATAATTCACTAAAGTGGGAGGCAGAAATAAGAATGCATGCATTGCATTGAACATATGCCCTACTCTCTTTCCTCCAATTTGAAATACAGTCTTAACATGACACAAAGAAAGGTAGAGTTTCATATTGTGCATTAGCATAAGTCTGGCTGTTAACTAGCAGTTAATGATTATCTAAACACTTTGTATTTTGTGTAAAATTTGACTAGCTAAACAGCAAAAATGCTTACAGACCTGGAATGTTTTTTGAAAGTGCCAGAAGGGGGCAGTGTTGTACATAAAATGATATTAGATTATACAGTACTATAAATGAAATCTTCTGGATGACTCTCTGCAAAGCTCTATCATTCAGTATGATTTGTGAAATCCTCAAGCAGCTATCCAAGATCCACCATCTACTAGAATTGTTTTGTTATTGCTTGTTTACTGAACTTAATAGGCCTCTGGATCACTGAAGCCTTCTTGGTGTAAAATCAAAGCGTTAAAACCCATAAAAAGAACTAAAACCAGTAAAATTAATAAAATGAACATTCAATCAACAGTGACAAGACATAAAGATGCATTCTGAGGACTTTTTATAAAAGCTAATAAATGTGTTGGACTGCTCATCTCTAAAGGGAATGCATTTCAACAATGTAGAGCAGCAATAGAGAAGGACATTAAAATTCATCTTTATAATATTTGTGTTACCACCAGTCAAGTCCCTTGAAAGTGATATTCTTTCAGATCTCTATTGCCATGGAGAATTTTAAAGTAATGACCAGCAATTTGTACTTAGTTCAGAAACAAGTTATCACCAGTGCAGTGCAATTAACACAACTGTAATATGATTTCTTCACATTCTTCTCATAATCAATTTGGCCTCCCAGTTTTGGGTCAGTTGAAGCTTCAAATCTGGGCAGTGTCAAGGCCCAACCCTGAGTGGATAAAGGCAATCTTGAAGCAGCTGTAGGGAAATCACCTCAGCAAGTGGAGATTCGTTGAAGAAGATTGGTTGAAAAATGTGTCATGGCACATTGACCGCTATAGAATGCAAGTCTAAGTGGTACCATGACTTACAATGACTTTCCTTCAGTGTTCCCCAGACTCCCTACTTTCATCTAATTTTTAAAAGATGCTTTAATTTTTAAAACTGAATGGGAAAACTAGTGTTACAGAGCGCCAACCTCAAGCATAATCTGTACTTCAGAGAAGGCCTCTTGGTCCTCGTAGAGCTCCCAAATGCCTTCTTACAAAGTAAAAATTATAGAGCTTCAGCTCAGTCTTTTTTTCTTTTCTTTTTGGAGCTCTTCCCTACACTTTTTAAGTAAAAAGAAGAACTGAGATCAATGTTTTGCAAGGTTAGAGGAGGTTGTAAAGAACAACTTTGCCAGTTTGCATTGGTTGGCACTTTTGTGGCTAACCAAACCAATTAAGGCAGCCATTTTATGAATGTACCCTGTGTTCTACTTTGAAGCAGTTTCATGTTTTTCCCACGGTTGCTTTTCTGTTGGACCACAGGAAGACATCTCACTCAGTGGCTACCAGAAGCATGTGTCTTCTTCCTCTGCTCCAGCTCCTCTGACCGCAGCCGAACAAGAGCTTCAGCAGATCCGCATCAATGAGGTAAGAAGAAAGTTCACTGGGCTATGGATGACACTGTAATTCTTTCTTTCTTTCCAATTTTCCCTTGGTGCTTTGTGTGTAAAAATGTTACTGTGTCATTTAAAAGTCATGCATTTTATTCAGGTGCAATTAGGAATAAAAAGTTTGCTTTTGGAGGCTGTCAGATAGCCATAAGAGTGTTCACATTTGGAAGGAAGAGCTGTGCACTGCAGCTAGGAAGATGGGATGTTCAGGTTGCTTAAAAGGGAGAGAAAAGTAGGGAAATATGCTGGTTGATGCTCCCCATCTCTTTTCTCATCACTTTTCCTTCCGTGTTTCATTGGTTCTTGGTGGGTGGGTGGGGGATGATTCCTTTGCTTTTCCACCCATGATCAATTCAGGGCATAGTTGTATGGAGGAAATGCTGAGGCTTGTGGCTATCATTCCCAAGATAGTTGCTATCCTGTAGGTGACCTGCAATACTTCAGCAGCCCCGGTTTTCTTCATAATTGTGTTTTCATTGATTGATTGATGGATTGATTTCAAGTACATCACCCAACTCAAATGACTCTGGTGGTTAGGAGTAGGTAAAGCCTGTCTTCCCAGTTACAAAGTACCACTATCTTGAATCCTGGAGAAACCCAGGTTTACTCCAGAAATAATGGCTGGATGAATAATATTTGATCTGCCTACCATAAAGGAGAGACCCATGCTCATATACCAATTTCCTGCTTTTACTCGGGCGGCATAGGTTGCATGCTATTGAACATTCATGTGGTTTATGTGGTTATTTATTTATTAGATATACATGCCACCTTTCTTCCAAGAGCACAAGTTAATTTCTAAAACCTTCACTTGAATCTGGCCCTAGTCACATAATAGTTATTCATTGGTTTGGAGGTTGTAGTCCCACATTAAGAGGAGAAAGTTGAACTAATGCAGCTGTATGAAATCTGAATCAAAACAGTACTACAGCTAGTTCTCATTTAATGACCACTCATTCAGTGACTATTTAGAGTTAATGAATGAGTGGTACTTACGACCAGTCCTCAAACATCCAGCCATCACAGCATCCCCATGGTCGCATGATCATAATCTGGATCCCTGGCATTCGATTCGCACTTACAATTCTGGCGTTGTTCCGCTGTTACATGACTGCCATTTCTTCACATTCTTGCAACACACACACACACACACACACACACACACACACACACACACCCCACACGTCGTCCCATTGTACCTGTGCCCAGTGGGAGAGAGTAACTTACTGGATCAACTCTTGCAACCTTTCCTACTGGCATCCCCATTGACTTTGCTTTTGGAAAGCTGGCAGGGAAGGTTGCAAATGGGAATCCTGTGGCTGTGGGTTGATGCGATCCCTCACGGGCTGTTCATGCAGCAGCCCTCCCCAGTCCCTTTGTACTTGTATCACCCCCTCGCACTGTGCCTGGCCTGCCAGTTTGCTTGCAAGCTGCCTGCAATCCTCGCTTAACGGCAACAACCGCAAGTGCCAGGATTGCCATTGCTTTGTGTGGCAGTTACATAATCCTGTGCTTTACGACCACATACTTAGTGATGGAAGTTCTGGTCCAATTACCATTGTTAACCAAGGGCTACTTGTAATTCATGCGGATTTGAAGATTCTGTATATACAAGGCACACCTGATAGCACTTTTCCAGTATTACACAATAAGAGAAATGTCATAGAGTGTTCTTTTGCGTCATTTCCTGAATTAGTCTTTGAAGTATTATGTTTTATTTGTTTCCTTAATGCGTTTTGTACATTGAGTTAAGTAATGTTTAACCTGCCGGGTCTTAACTGTAGGACTTTCATCTCCCTCTGGCACATGATTATCAAGTCAGAAGATGATTTAGTAGCCGGGGTGTGATTGCTGCTTGTGTGTTTCCATTTGCATTTATTGGCCCAAGCTCTCTGGGCAGTTTTCATCTCCTCCCGAAGCGGATGATGATGAAAGCAAGCAGAAAGAGATGCCTCTCAGTTGTTTGTGTGGCAAATTTCTAACCGTGGTAACAATTGACTGGAGTTATGTATCAGCTTTATATCCCACCTCTTCCCCAGGATCCCATTGCGGTGTGGCATTCTTGCCTTCATTATATGTGGCTTTCTGGGAGATGCTGATCATATTGCCATAAAATTGGCAGAGCTTGTGAGCACCCAGGAGACTCAAGATTTTGACTGAGGAACATGGACAGAGGTGGGACACAGTCCCCACAGATGTAAACCATAGAAATGAGATTTTAAAGGCACCGTGGCTATGTTGTCTTTGAGAGAAAGTGAAGGAGGTGGAAATTGAAGAAGGGCCTGTTGTCTGAAGTACAAAAGGCATCCACCTGTTTAAATATAGAGACTGGAAATAACTGAGGTGGAATAGTAATATAAGGGAAAGCTGGGTGGTTGGGCAAAAAAAATACCTTTCTTTCAAGTCAAGCAACAGCATATTGACCAAATTATCCAAAGCAAAATCTCTTAAACTGAAATATAGCAGTGAAAGCAGCATAGTCTTGTCCTACCTGTAACAAGAATGAAAAGGATTTAAAAGTTGTGGGGGTGCTACTTTGACTGGGACCAGAGTGGGTCAGGGATAGATTTGAGCACTATTGTTTATGAATTCTCCAAATAATTTACTCCTGCCTCGTCCTTGCGGGTTGCTTGCCAAACCCTGAATTTGGAATGTTTGCACGAATCCACCTTGGAGATCAGCTGGAAAGCTAGAGTTATACATTAAGAAAGATACCAGCTTAGAGAGCAGTGTGCCTACTTCTGTTTGGGGAGAGGGAGTGCAAATCCTTTTTTGGGCACTGGGCCTAAAAGCATATCTCTTTCACGTGTTTTTGTAATCTGAATCTGTTGAACTAGCCCGTACCAACTGTCAACCTAAATATTACTAGTGAGGGAGAACAAAGCGTCTTTATAGAGAGATCAGCCTTCCAACAGACCTGCACACATCAGGTGCAGCCAAATAGCCTATTCGGGCCCCCAACTGAGTGTGTGCAGCACTTCAGTTCTGCCTCCCTTCCCTCCCTTTCTTCAGCTTTCTTTAAATATGACAGGCCTGGAGCTTAGCTTCCTACCGCCACTTCTGCACGGCTGAGCAATTCTGACAGGTTGCGAAAGAGAATCCCTTTCGGTTTACGGCTCCATTTCTGGGTCACCCCGCTTGTGATCTGGTGTCACTGGCGGCAGATGAGACATCCGCTTTATTTTAGAGAATGCTCAGAAAATCGATTTATTCCACAGGAAGCCTGAATACACAGCCCAGATTTTTGCATTCCATCCTCACTTTTGATGTGTAGGAGTTGCCCTCAATTAGATCGGTATGAATTCACACACCACGTTCAAGTGATCATCTGCTTCTCTCAGATTTGGGCCTTTGGACCCAGGCATGGTTGGGTGTAAACCGTGGATGTAGTGCAGTACCGTTGTATACTTATGGATATGAAGAAGTCATACTTAAGTCTAGTTTGGGGCACCCAACTTCCATTTCTCCTTGTTAGGGGCACTACTCTGAAGCAATTAAGAGTTGCCTTAGACAAGTTCTGGCAGTTTAGCTTAGTGCTTCCCACAGCTTTCTTAAGCCGTCAGGAAAGATTTTTTTGCTGACCTGAGTGAGAGCTAGGCCCAATCTTCTAGAGTTTGCAGCAGAAAGTCTTCCCTTGCTCCATTCCATTTTCTGGACTAATCCTATTGTTAACTAGGTCAAAACAGACATTTCTCACAGAACTCACTCCAGATTAGATGGCCAATTAGGATTACACCTAGAGCCACAAGTACATTGTGCTGGTTACTCTAGATCAGGGGCGTCACACTCATGGCGTTACGGAAGCATCATGTGACATATTGGGACTTTTCCCCCCTTTGCTAAACTGGACATGGGTGTGGCTAGTTCCCCCCTGGGCCGGGGGTTTGACAGCCCTGCTCTAGATGCATTTTTTTAAGGAGCAAACTGTAAGATGGCTGCGCTGTTTGTTTTCCCACCCACAATGCGAGGAACCCCCTTGGACCCCCTTGTTTAGAGAGCAGCTGGGTCAACCAGCCAAAGGGCAAAGGCGATGCTTCTGCTTTGGAACATGAATATGCAGGAGGGACTGGTGGATCCATCTCAACTGGCAAGTCCTCTTGAAACTGCTCCTCCAATATGACAAAAAGCAAGGTCCAAACTCACTTGAGACCACTCTGCTGGTAAGCTCATCACCTGAAGCTTGTTTTAAGCTTGGTTTGATTGAAATGGCTTTCTGCCACGGCCTTGTGGGATAAAGTAGGTTGGGTAAGTGTTTCTATGGTGTAGTTCCTGACACTTTTTGCTCTTCTATTTCCTTGAGGGAAGTACAGTGATTAAATTATGTTATGTTTGTGGAATGTGTTGCCTTTGCCATTGATTTAATAGGTGCTAGCTTCATCAGACTTTCAGACTTCCTTAAGGGCCTTGGATATTTTTTTTTTCTCTTTCTTTCTTTCTTTCTTTCTTTCTTTCTTTCTTTCTTTCTTTCT